GAAGTGGTGCTGTGGCTCAAGTGGTAGAGCGCTAGCCTTGAGCTGAAGAGCTGACGGACAGCGCCCAGGCCCAGAGTTCAGGCCCCACAACCGGACCAAAAAAAAAAACCAAAGATTGGTGAGTAGAGTAATTCCTAGTTTTCCTGTTAACTTCAGGTAAAGGATTCTTTTTTTTTCTTTTCTTTTCTTTTGGGTCCGGTCGTGGGGCCTGAACTCTGGGCCTGGGCGCTGTCCCTCAGCTCTTCAGCTCAAGGCTAGCCCTCTACCACTTGAGCCACACCGCCACTTCCGGCTTTTTTCTTTTTTTGCTTATGTGGTGCTGAAGAATCGAACCCAGGGCCTCATGCATGCAAGGCAAATGCTCTACCACTGAGCCACCTTCCCAGCCCCCCTCTTTTTATTTTGTCAGTTATGGGGCTTCAATTCTGGGCCTGGGTGCTGTCCCTGAGCTTTTCAGCTCAACCACTTGAACCACAGCGCCACTTCCAGTTTTCTGGTGGTTAACTGGAGATAAGAGTCTCACCGATTTTCCTGCCTGGGCTGGTTTTGAACCGTGATCCTCAGATCTCTAGGATTACAGGCTTGTGCCACCAACAACCAGCTCAAGAGTTCTTGAAATAGTGTTATGACAGTACAGTATTCTTAGTTACTTTTCAAACACTGCCCTCTGCTGTTTTAAAACTTTAGTGCACTTAAAATTGTAAAGTTTTAAAATAGCTCAACTCCACAAAATGGATATGTGATATTAAAGCATTACTGCTAACTTTAAAAAGTGTTTGTTTACAATAAAAATGTACAAAAATAAAAATAAACAAGTGTTGGTGACATGATTTCTTTCAATAATATAATTTTTTTTTCAATAATATAATTTTTATTTTAGAGACACATTACGAGATATTTGTAGATGTTAGATGTCTGCAATTTGCCTCAAATAACCCAGACACTTGGTGTAGGGAGTTAAAAGAAATAATTACCATGAGTTGATTTTTGTAGCAAGCTAGGTAACAGGCACTTGGAAGGTCTTTATCTTAAAATTATGCATGTTAAAAAATTTTTTTTGTCAGTTGTGGGGCTTGAACTCTGAGCCTGAGTGCTGTCCCTCAGCTCTTCAGCTCAAGGTGAGCACTCTACCACTTGAGCCACAGCACCACTTCAGGTTTCCTAGTGGTTTATTAGAGATAAGAGTCCTGTGAACTTTCCTGCCTGAGCTGGCTTTGAACCACCATCCTCAGATCTCAGCCTCCTGAGTAGCTAGGATTACAGGTATGATCTTGACTTGCATTTGTTTTGGTTGTTTTTTTTCTTTTGTTAGTTGTGGGGCTTGAACTCTGGTCCTGGGCACTGTCCCTCAGCTCTTCAGCTCAAGGTTGGTGCTCTACCACTTGAGCCACAGGGCCACTTCCAGTTTTCTGGTGGATTATTGGAGATAAGAGTCGCACAGTAGGGGTTGGGAAGTTGGCTCAGTGGTAGAGTGCTTGCCTCACATGCATAGGTTCCTGGGTTCAATTCCTCAGCACCACATAAGCAGAAAAAGCCAGAAGTGGCGCTGTGGCTCAAGTGGTAAGGCACTAGCCTTGAGCTGAAGAGTTGAGGGACAGCGCCCAGGCTCAGAGTACAAAAAAAAAAAAAAAAAAGAGTCACACAGTATTTCCTGCCCAGGCTAGCCTTGAACCAGTATCCTCAGATGCCAGCCTCCTGCGTAGCTAGGATTACAGGCATGATCCACCACGCCCAGCTTGGTTGTTGTTTGAATAAGGTCTTCTTTTATACCCAAGCTGACAGGACCTTGATCCTATTTATTCTTCCCACTCAGCTGTGATATCAATCATGCCCATGACACCTAGGCTCATTATTGGGTGACATAGGGATCTCATTTTTTTTTTGTCAGTTGTGGGGCTTGAACTCTGGGCCTGAGTGCTGTCCCTCAGCTCTTCAGCTCAAGGCGAGCACTCTACCACTTGAGCTACAGTGTCACTTCTGGTTTTCTAGTGGTTTACCGGAGATAAGTCTTATGGAATTCCTGCCAGACCTGGCTTTGAACCACTATACTCAGATCTCAGCTTCCTGAGTAGCTAGGATTACAGGTGTGAGCCACCAGTGCTGGCTTCATTATTATTATTATTTTTTGTCCAGACCAGTCACAAACTATAATCTTTCCAAGTAGCTAGGATTACAGGCAGAAAGCACAGTTCCCTTATCTTTGTCATTAAGTATGAAATAAAAATGTTCAATACTAACTTAATGAGTATAATAAGCTTCTACACATTCCCTTCTCTGTTGGTTTGCACATTTTAAGTGTGATATGAAGTTATGTGTAACTTTCTAGATCACAACCTAACCTAAAATGATTTTTACAAAGTGAAATAGTAACTATTCAATTAACTAAAAAAAATCACAAAAACAAATATTGAAATTTGTGTCAACTAAAATATAGAAACATCACTGGTCTTAAGAAGTTAGATATGTAACATTAATTCCTAAATTAAGCTAAATTTACCCTACAATATTATTGGGATTTATTCTGAGTTACTTAAAATATTAAAATCATGCAGTAAGAGACTGCCTTAGTGGGAGGATACTCAGAATCTATTTTCTACATAGCCTGATAAAAGGAGGGAATTCTAATTAATGTATTGAGGCTAGCCTAGTGTGATGGTATGTGTGTGTATAACCTCAGTATTCAAAAGGCAGAAGGACTTCTGGGCTACATGACAAGAATTTGTCTCAAAAAGAAAGTATTGAGTCTATTGGTTCTTGCTTTCAAGCAAATACACTCATATCTAATCAACAATATTTACTGAATCTATGGTACATACTAATTCCAAAATTTAATGTGTATGCCTTGTAAGAGCAATACAGGCTACCTGTTTACTTAGCTTTAATTAATATAGGAAACTCTAGTAGTCTCCTTAAAGTTCTGATGGACTAATAGTGTTAACAAAAATAGTTAATGATTATACTGTTACCAACTTTACCTTGTCTGCAATTTTACAGCAGCAGTCCATCCACAAGAAATCTTGAATTAGATCATCATCTACAACAAAAGATAGCTATTAGTTGTGTTTTTTTTTCATTTTTCCTTTTGAAGAATTTAAATGTTTAGAAATCAAACAAAAATACCTGGACTAAGATATGGTTTTCAGGATTAAAAAAATCATTGCAAACACTGTACAAAAAACTATCTTGGGGCTGGGAAGGTGGCTCAGTGGTAGAGCACTTGCCTTGCATGCGTGAGGCCCTGGGTTCGATTCCTCAGCACCACATAAGCAGAAAAAAAAAAGCTGGAAATGGCGCTGTGGCTCAAGTGGTAGAGCGCTAGCCTTGAGCTGAAGAGCTGAGGGACAGCACCTAGGCCCAGAGTTCAGGCCTATGACCAGGCCCCACCAAAAAAAAGACTATCTTATCCTTCATCTTCTGATTTGCTCTATTCACTATGTATAGCTCAGTTTTAGAGAACAGTATTTTATTGAATATCCAGTAGCATGTTGGGTAACTCTAGCTCTTCATCCCTTTTCAAAATCTCTCTTAACAGGTGGAAATAAGGGGGATAAAAACAGGTGGATAAAAGGTAATTGTTCTTCAACTAAAAATTCTAATATATATATAAAATCTCAACATATATTGGTAATTATCAGAATCTAGGAAAATCAATTTCCAACCTTAATTCTTTTTCTTTTCTTTTTTTTCTTTTTTGTCGGTCGTAGGGCTTGAACTCTGGGCCTGAGCACTGTCCCTTAGCTCTTCAGCTCAAGGCAAGTGCTCTACCACTTGAGCTACAGCACCACTTCCCCAACCTTAATTCTAAGTAAGAAAAAGCAAATAAATACATCAACTCATTTCTTTTTTTTTGTCAGTCATGGTGCTTGAACTCTGGGTTTGGGCACTGTCTCTGTGCTCTTCAGCTCAAGGCGAGCACCCTACTGCTTGAGCCACAGCGCCACTTCCTGTTTTCTAGTGGTTTATTGGAGATAAGAGTCTCATGGACTTTCCTGCCCGGGCTGGCTGAGATCCTCAGATCTCAGCCTCCTGAATAACTAAGATTACAGGTGTGAGCCACCAGCACCCAGCCACATCAACTCATTTCTGTGTTTTGCAAATATTATCAATGTAATGAAGTAACTAGAAAGTTTCAAGAGAATATTGATTTCTTGACAATTAATTTACTAATTCTATATTTATTTCTCAAATTACCTAACATGGTAGAGACAGATAAACCAACAATTATAGGTACTAACAAGGTTTGTAATAATTTTGTTCTTTCACTTTTAGCAGTAGTAGGAATTGAATTTGGAACCTCTAGCTATCATTCAACACATCCCACTATACCTGAGCCAGACTTCCAGTCTTCATTCTATTTTTTTTTTGTCAGTCATAGGGCTTGAACTGTGCACCTGTGCCCTGTCCCTCAGTTTTTCAGCTCAAGGCTAGTGCTCTATTACTTGAGCCACAGTACCACTTCCAGTTTTCTGGTGGTTAATTGGAGGTAAGAGTTTTTGGACCATGATCCTCAGATCTCAGCCTCCTGAGGAGCTAGGATTACAGGTGTGAGCCACCAGCATCAGATCACTATGCTTTTATTTACCCAATTTCCCTCAGTGCTCTGGCTTTCCTCATAAGAGGCCTATTATCTGCACCTACCAGATTATGGTGTTTTGTAGATTTGACTTATTCCCACAGGTTTTAGAACCCATCTTTACCACTCCTTATCCTAATCTTTCTACCATGCTATCAATCTCCAAATAAAGATCCCTTTTCCTTCTTCATTAGTAGACAGTAGATGCAGTAGTATGAGAAATTTCTAGCTGCCTACTTATTAATAAAGTAGAACTGATTCATTATCTGAACAAATTCTACAATGATAAAAAATATTGTTAATTTTTAGCAATAATTCCAAGATATATTGAAACTTTTCTAGGTTAACCAACATTTCCAGTTTGCTTGGTTTTAGTCATGAAAAGTCCTGGGAAACTTGTCAGGACTAATCAGATTGGCTGGTCCCTCACCTGAGTCTGTATGTAGTTTCAGTTTAGGTCAAAACTAAAGACAAAAAACAAAGAAATTGTGGCTCACACCTCTAATACTAGCTACTAAGGAAGCTAATATCTGAGAATCACAGTTTGAAGCCAGCCCAGGCAGGGAAAGTCCATGACATACTTATCTCCAATTAACTACCAAAAAAGCCAGAAGTAGAGCAGTGGTTCAAGTGGTAGAGGGCTAGCCTTAAGCAAAGAAGCTCATAGACAGTGGCCAGGCCCTGAGTTTAAGCTCCAGCGCACACACACACAGCACTCTCGTTCTTTCTCTCTCACACACCTACACACCAATCTCATGCTATTAACCTAAATTCCTGAATTGCTCAGATCTATACTTGATAGAAGCTAGCTGGGTCTGAATTTGTAATCCATAAAACAAGTAAAATAAAAATTCAGTATAAAAACAAGCCTATAAATAAATTTGCTTAGAGGTGGGAAATTTTGGCACAGGAAATACCATAATCTTTGACCATTTTGGTAATGATAAAATAGATGTTTACATTCTAGTTTGTATGTACTTTATATGACACTACTAAATGAGTTAAGGTTTAAAACCTACCAAACAATTTAAAGAAAGCAGTCATTTCCTGACGCTGTATTACTAAACAAGGTCCTTTGGGGCATTTAGATTTGTTGTTATTATGTGTATTTTTTTCAGATGCTTGCCAACTATCTTTAAAAATAGGACGCTTTAGATTAATGGGTTTTCTAGACTGATGAGCTCTATTTGGTCCTGATTTTACATGAACAGTGACAGTAGGTGGCGTCTCACAACACATCTGATTGTGCCTCATTCTGGTTTTCCAAGATTCCTGCAAAAATAAAACAGACAATTATTTATCACACTCATTAATTTCTGTATAAAAAGAAATTGGATGATACTTCCAGATATAGTTACTGGTCTTGTGATTAAAAGTGATATTTGGAGTCAGGAAATGTGGCTTAGTGGTAGAGTGCTTGCCTAGCATGCATGAGGCCCTGGGTTCAATTCCTTTGTATCACATAAACATAAAAGGAAAAATAACCATTAAAATTATTTTAAAAATGTTATTTGTGACAGTGATTCACAATAGAAATTGCTTTTAGAATTCACTACCAGGAAAAACTTTATTCTTCCCAAATAATAAGATACCACACACATATATGTATATACATGTATATTATACCATTTTGTTTTGACTACTTTGGAACTCAAAACCAAAAATTTAAAGTTGTTTACTTTTTTTTGTTGTTGGTGGGGCTTGAACTCTGGGTCTGGGTGCTGTTCCTGAGCACTATCAGCTCAAGGCTAGCACTCTACCAGTTGAGCCACAGTGCTACTTCCAGTTTTCTGGTGTTTAATTGGAGCTAAGAGTCTCATGGACTTTCTTGCCTGGGCTGGCTTTGAACCAAGACCCTCAGATCTCAGCCTCCTGATTAGATTACAGGTGTGCACCACCGATGCCTGGCTTATTATGTTCTTTATTATTCCAGGTAAAGTTTTGGTTAATTTTGGTTTTTGAATCTCACTTTGTAGTCGACACTAGGCATGAACTTGTGATCCTTATGCTTCAGCCTCCCAAATATTGAGATTACAAGTGTGAGCTAACCCCTCCCCCCACTTATCCTGGCTTTTATTCTACAGGAACTGATATAATCTCATTATATGATGCTTACAATTTGTGGTTTTACTGACAGCCACTACTCAGGAGTCAGAGATCTGAGGACTGCTTCTTTTCAAAGCTAGCCTAGCAAAAGTCAGTGAGACATATTTCCAATAAGGCTGCAAAAAGTTGCGAGTGGAGGTGTGGCTCAGGTGGTAGTGTGAAAAAGCCAAGTGAGAACACAGAGGCCCTCAGTCCAAGCCCCAGTGCTACTGGACCAAACAAAAAGTATTAGACAAAGCAAATTAGTATCAGAGCTTAATTATTGATATTAAGAATTAAAAAATGAAAAATCTCTCACAAAAAATCCTAAATTGTACTGGAAAATCCCTTGGTACAAAATTATCTTATTCAACAAGCATTTATTGAAAACAATTCTAGCATTGGGTGTGGAAATGTACCTGTAACTCCAGCTACTGTCTGTGTCTCTCTTGGCAGTACTGGAGTTTGAACTCAAGGTCTCACACTTGCCCTTGACCATTTGAGCTCTTTTTAGTCATTTTCAAAAAGTGTCTGGAATGTATGCCCACCAGCCTCCACCTATTTCCATTTTCCACCTAGCTAAGATGGCGGAAGCACCACAGCACATCCAGCTAGTGACTGAGATGAGGTCTCCTTTTACACTGAATCTCACCAGTGGCTGGGCTGACAGGTGTGCAATCACTAGCACCTGGCGGCAGCATGTTCTTGAATCCTCTTTTTTACAGGAAGATGGTGTCATTCAAGGGGTAGAAAAGTCAAGAATATGGCACTGTTAAATTTGTGTTGGGAGCAACACTAATTTTTTGGGTCTGTTGTAGGGCTTGAACTCTGGGCCTGGGCGCTGTCCCTCAGCTCTTCAGCTCAAAGCCAGCGCTCTGCCGCTTGAGCCAAAGCGCCACTTCCGGTTTTCAGGTGGTTAATTGGAGATAAGTCTCAGGGACGGTCCTGCCCGGGTTGGCTTTGAACGGCGGTCCTCAGATCTCAGCCTCCGGAGTAGCTAGGAGTACAGGCGTGAGCCGCCGATGCCCGGCACGCTAGCATTTTTAAAACGTGCTTACGCTAGAGAACGGAATCTATAGGTGATACACGATCAGTTTTAACACGGCATATCCGTCTTTCAATGTTGAATTAAATGTTCTTTTTAAAATGTGAGGTGGGGCTGGGAAGGTGGCTCGGTGGTGGAGCGCTTGCCTAGCATGCCTGAAGCCCTGGGTTCGAGTCCTCAGTACCACGTACACAGAGAAAGCCAGAAGTGGCGCTGTGGCTCAAGTGGTAGCGTGCTAGCCTTGACCAAAAAGCAGCTCAGAGACAGTGCCCAGGCCCTGGGTTCAAGCCCCACAGGGGGAACAAAGTGAGAGTGAGGCGAGGCGGGCAGGTGACCAACGGAGGGCCCAGCAGCAGCAGCCCCTCCTCAGCGCAACAGAGCAGATGCGGGGGGGGGGAGGGGGGTGGCATGAATGATGGATGAATGGCGGGCTCATTCAGAAGACCTCCCCAGACCTCCTCTGTCCTAGAGGCCGCCCGACCCCCCCCCCCGACCCCACTTCTGGGCCCCCGGCCAAGGCCACGAAGGCGCCCGCAGGATTCACAGGTGGAGGGGCGGCTCGCACAGGTGGCGGGGAGGCGGCGGCGGCCCCGAGAGGAAGCCAAACGCCGGTCCGGGCGCCACTGGAACTGGAGACTCGCCTGCGGGTCCGACCGACCTCGGGGGGTGCGGAGCCAAAGTACCTGCGGAGACCCGAGAAGAGCGAGCGGCCCAGCAGCGGCGGCTGCCTCAGTTCCCGGCTTCACACGGCGGTGCGCAGCTCGCTCGCTCGACGGCTACAGCGCCAACTCCGCAGACCGCTAGACGCCCGCTGTCCGGGAGCGCGCGGCCACCAGAGCCAATCAGAATGCAAGAACGGCCGGAGGGGGCGTGACGGACGCCCGCGCCCCGCCCCCACTGCTGCCTCGCCCTCGCGGAGCCCAGCGCCGGCTGCTTTCTGCCGTTATCCCGCGGCCGGTGCGCGCGGCAGCGCCCGGGGACCGCTCTCGCTGCCCCCGCGCCGGACCTTTCCGGCGGATGTTCTCCGCGTGTGTGGGCCGAGACGTGGAGCTTCCTTCCGGATCAGTTGGTGTGGGCCTGTGGCGCTGAGGAGGCGCCCGCGTCCTTACGGTCCCGTCCAGCGCACCGTCTGGCGAACCGTGCTGGACTATCCCACGTGTGTGAGGAGGAACGCACCGAAAAGGTGTGAATGTGTGGCACCCCGTGAGTGTAACGCCCTGTTAGCAGCCCAGACTTGGCCTCAGCTTCTCCACTCAAGGCTAGCGCTCTTCCACCTGAGCCATCGCGCCACTGCCATCTTTTCAATGGCTAATCGGAGATCATGGACCAGGATTCCTGCCCAGCTGGCTTTGAATCGCGATCCTCAGATCTCAGCCTCCTGAGCAGCTATGACTACTACACGCATGCGCAAGCGGCTCCCTGCTTAGCAACTCCTTTTTACGCCCTTCTAGTTTTGGCCCAGGTTTCTGGGAGTTAGTTGAAAATAAATGCTTGCTAAATGCAAAATGATCTTGTTTTCTCCACCTTTTCCCCTAATGTACAACCTACTACTAATTAACGGGGGTGTGTGTGGGGTGCTACCAGGCTTTGTACTTGCCAGGCAGGTGGTCTACTTGAGTTGTGTCTAAAACTCTACTAGTGTATTCCCCCCCCCCCCCCGAGTCTTTGGGCACTGTCCCCGAACTTCTTTTGCTCAAGGCTAGCACTACCACTTGGGCCACAGCACCAGTTCCAGCTTTTTCTGTTTACGTGGTACTGAGGAATGGAACCCAAGGCTTCATGTCTACTGTGTGCCAGAAAGCTCACACTCAAGGAGATATACCAATGAATAAGAAAAAAAGTACTCTGCTAATGGGCTTTGAACAAGAAAAAATTGCTGCCAACAAGCTTGTGTTTGAGTCAGATACACTGAGACTCAACTAGACTAGGTTTTAAACCAAATATATCACAGTCTTGAAGGGACACTCAACACCTTAATGGTTTTGAATAAGGAATAATCAGTATTAAAAGTAGAATGGATTAGGCTGGGGAGGTGGTTCAGTGGTAGAGTGCTTGCCTTGCATGCATGAGACCCTGGGTTTGATTCCTCAGCACCACATAAGCAGAAAAGCCCAGAAGTGGCGCTTCAGCTCAAGCACTAGCCTTGAGCTGAAGAACTGAGGGACAGAGCTCAGGTCCAGAGTTCAGACCCCACAACGGACACCCCCCCCCCAAAAAAAAGTAGAATGGGTTGTAATTTGTGTTTGTCAGTAAAGATGCCCAGAGTTTTAGGGAATTTAATTGCTAAAAGATTAGTCTCCCATTGAAAACTAAGATTTGCAGTACATAGAGATTTAACCTGTATCTTTGATAACAAGTTGAATTTAAGCACACTGTTAACCAGATCCCAGTTAAAGATGATGGGCTATTGGGGCTGGGGAGGTGGCTCAGTGGTAAAGTGCTTGCCTTGCATGCATTAGGCCCTGGGTTTGATTCCTCAGCACCACATAAACAGAAAAAGCCAGAAGTGGCACTGTGGCTCAAGTGGTACAGTGCTAGCCTTGAGCTGAAAAGCTGCGGGACAGTGCCCAGGCCCAGAGTTCAGGCCTCACAATGGGGGGGGGATGGGGAGAGGAGATGATGGGCTATCAAGCCTTGAGGCAATTATTTTGAGAGACTTATGTTTCTAAAGCTTCTTAAATTATATGCTGAGATCCTGGACTTTACACATTTTCTGAGGTATATCAAGTAGCTTATTCTTTTTTGGGGGGGCGCAGTCGGTAGTGGGGCCTAAACTCTGGGCCTGGGCGCTGTCCCTCAGTTCTTCAGCTCAAGGCTAGCGCTCTACCACTTGAGCCACAGCATCACTTCCGGCTTTTTCTGCTTATGTAGTGATGAGGAATTGAACCCAGGGCCTCATGCATGCAAGGCAAGCACTCTACCACTGAGTTATCTTCCCAATCCTATTACATTTTAATGAGTGAGCAGGTTAATGAGTTCTATCAGAAATTTCACATTTTCTCGGAAACTAAGCTAGAGTGACAAAGTTATGTTAATCCACTAATGGTAAAGGGGGTCAGTGTGTCCATAAAATGGCAACCTTTTCAGCAACTGTGACAATGAGTATGTTAAGGGCAGCTTGATTTAAAGTTTTAAGCTCTTTTTCAAGAGATATACTAGGAAGAGGTTCAAAACATTCCAGGGCTGGGAAGATGGCTCAGTAGTAGAGCACTTGCCTTGCATGCCTGAGGCCCTGGGTTCAATTCCTCAGCACCACATAAGCAAAAAGAAAAAAGCTGGAAGTGGCGCTGTGGCTCAAGTAGTAGAGCGCTAGCCTTGAGCTGAAGAGCTGAGGGACAGCGCCCAGGCCCAGAGTTCAGGCCCCACGACCGGACCCCCCCCAAAAAATTAAACTCATTACATAAGAGACTCCTATGGACTAGTTTTATCCCATTTTACTGTACCTTTTTGCCTTTGTTTTGATAAAATGGTGTTATAATCTGTGATAGTTCCAGATGTTTGGCCATGATGACACTGTTTCTGGGGAAATAATTCCAGCCTATCAGCTGAATTGAGGCAAAAAAATTAACACATATTTTACCAGGCTTGATTTGATTGACAGTCTCCAGAAATAGATCTTAGGCTATAGGATTTTACATGTGGAACTTGAAAATGATGAATTGAGAAGCCTCAGGCAGCCTGTTTCTACCCTTCTTCCTCTCCTCTCTCCCTGACAAGCCTCTTCTTACCCTTATTCCCACATTCATTTGGGATAACCATCCTATAAACAAAACACCAATGTTAGAAGTAGGATTTTTATAATCATAGAAGCTGACAAATATCCCCAAAGGAAATCAGCAAAGATTTATGATTATTTTTGCAAGCCATTTAATGAATCATGTGAGAAATGTTAATTATAGTAAGAAATTAGAAACTTATAATGTATGTTAACCAATGTAGAGGTGACAGTTGGAGAAAATAATCTTTGACTTGCATCTATGTAGTACAGGTTGACCTCAAATTCACCACTCTTCTTTATCTGCATTGGATTTTAAGCATGTGCCACCAGACCTGGAAAGTTTAACTTTTAAAATTTCCTACCTAGTCAAAGGATTTATCAATTCTGGCACTTATATAGGCAAAATCCAATTTTAAGAGACCAAAAGTTATAGTTTCATTTTGTTGAAGATACATTACAAAAGATTAAAAGATTAGAAAAATAACAAAACTTTAGTTCTATGGAACCAATTTAGTCACCTCTCATGAGGTACAACTATATAATGCTGCTACTTCACTGAGTTTCACCTGTTGCAGGGGGTCTCTGGAAAGTAACTCCTGTGACAGGTGAGGGATCTCTGTATTGCCTAGTATCTATTTTACAAGGTATGCTGTTACTTTGTCAGTTGTAGGGCTTGACCTCTGGGCCTGGGTGCTGTCCCTTAGGTCTTCGGCTCAAGGCTAGCGCTTTACCACTTGAGCCACAGCGCAACTTCTGGTTTTCTGGTGGTTTTTATTAGAGGTAAGAGTATCATGGACTTTTCCTATCTGGACTGTCTTTGAACTGCGATCCTCAGATCTCAGCCTGTTGAGTAAAGGAAAGTGAGGTTTATGTTTCTTCTCAGGTACAGGTTTGATTCAGGCATAGATTCATAAGCAACAGATAGGTGACAGGTAGCAACAGCAATTTCAGCTTGTCTTCCTTCTCTGAACACGTATTTTTCAAGCCCATCCTGAGGGCTTGAACTCTGGGTCTGGGTGCTGTCCCTGAGCTTCTGTGTTCAAGGCTAGTGTTCTACCACTTGAGCCACAGTGCCACTTCCGGCTTTTTGCGAGTAGTTTATTGGAGATGAGTCTCATGGACTTTCCTGCCTGGGCTGGCTTTGAACCATGCATGGTCCTTGGAGCTCAGCTTCCTGAGTAGCTAGGATTACAGGTATGAGCAAATGGTGACCCTGACTCTGAACATTTAAACATAATGATATAAAAAGCAAAAGTTGTTTTGGTTCCAAAGTTATGGTTACTATGGAGACAAGGAAACATACCTCAATTTTAAAATGAAGATATTTTTCAGTTTTTTCAAATTCTTAAGAGAAATACCTGCCCATGTAATTGTAACCCCTCTGTACAGTATTTTCACAATAATAAAAAAGAAAGAAAAAAAGAAGAGAAATAACCTCAGTTAAAAAAAATACACTTTTTTTCTGTTATCAAAATTTAAGTTTGAACTCAGGCCCTCAGGGAGGGCCTCATACTTATCAGTTTGCTTGTTTGGCTTTACCATGTGGGCTATACCCGATTTTTTTTGTGTGTGCCAGTACTGGGGCTTAAACTTAGTTCTCTAGATCTTTTTTTCAATCATGGATGGCACTCTACCACTTGAGCCATACTTCCAGTAAAAATAATTTTTTTCTTCTTGTTTTGGTAATACTGTGTTTGAACTTAGGCCCTTATAGTTTTCACTTCTTGCTTATAGCTATTGCTCTAACCTTAGCCATACCTCTAGTCTCAGCCTGGCATTTTGCAGTTAATTTTGAAAATGGAGTCTCAAAGAATTTTCTGTCCTGGCTGGCTTTTTTTTTTTAAACATATCTTCTATCATTCTTTCATTTATTTATTTATTGTCTATTGTGGGGTTTGAACTCTGGGCCTGGGTGCTGTCCCTCAGCTCTTCAGCTCAAGGCTAGTGCTCTACCACTTGAGCCACAGC